AATCGGACCGCCGGGGATTTGGGAAGACTTCTGTCGACTGCGCGTAAGAGTGACCCCTTCGCCAGAGTGACCCCCGGTGCGGGCCCATCGGTCAAGCCCCCGGTGCGGGCCCATCGGTCAAGGGAGGAAAAACCACCCGGACCGGACAGTTGGCGTTTACTAAACGGCCCTGGGCGTTTCCTGAACAGTCCTGCCCTGTTCGATTTCCTCTCTGGGCGCGTTTACTGAAGGCCTCGCGTGTCGGGGTAGTTGTGATCGGGGTGGATTTTCAGCCCTCCAATCTCAGGGGCAACGATAGGGGGGGATAGGCATGGGGGGGGGATGCATCGACCCCCAATCGCCCATTGATCGCCGATAGGGGTCCGATAGCCCCAACCTGCCCAGGAATGCGCGGATTCACCATCGGGGGCCTATCGCCGCTCTATCGGCGATGTCTCGCCGACTCCAGGTCGATGCATCCCCCCATATGCCAGTCCCCCCCTACGTTGCCCCTCACAATCGGGGTCCCCCGATCGCCGAGCGCGATGCGATGGCGGCGTCGTGCGCGCTGGCGTGCTGGCCCCCCTGCGACCCCCCAGAGAGAGCCGCGCACCGAGGGCCGCTCCTGCGCGGGGCCACTCCTTGCGCGCGGCCGGGTCTGGCCGAGGGCCACTCTTGCGCAGCGTCGGTCTTGCGTGCATCAGAGGAGGACAGTATACTCAAGCAGTGGCGAAGCGTCCCAGCTCGCCTGTTGGGCTACCAGAGAATGTTCAGAACCTATTGTGGTCTGCACGAAATGTTCTGAGAACATTTCTGGCTGGGACTGTCTTGTTTTATCGCATCGGGTTCATGTTCTAAGAACATTGTTTTTGCTATTAGAACATGTTTGGATTCTAAGAACATGTCGTGGTAGGCTTACAGATATGCTAAGACGGTCGGTCCCTGCTCAATCCACCCAGACCCCGACAATCCCTGAGATCCTGGCGACTCGATTTTTCGAGCCGGGCGTTTTCGCTCCATGTCGGGCCCGGGGGCTCACAGATCGATCCGGCTCGAAAAATGACGCAGAAAGATGGGGTCCAGGGGTATGGTCGTGATTTTTTGCAATGTTGCACTTATTTTGAAACGTCGGATCTCAGGGGTTGGCGTTTACCAAACGGCCCTGGGCGTTTGCTAAACAGCCCTGGCCTGTTCGATTCCTTCCTTGGGTGCGCGTTGACTGAATGGCTCCGATCGTCGGGGTGCTTCTCATGGGCTTGGGTGTTTGGCCCTCTGGTGTAACTGGCGAGGTGGAGGAGCCGGTGCCGAAGGTGAGGCAGTACACCTTCTCGCCTTTGCACCGCCCCCCCGGTTTCTACCCCTGGGGTGGCCCGCTGCTCGAGCTCGACGGCGTGACCCTGCACTCGATCGACCTGGTCGAGGCGGAGGGGGGCGATGGGGCAGTCGGCCTTGGCATCGCTTGGGAGTGTGCATTTTTCTCGGCAGGGGCCGTCGAGGAGCATTTCAGGTCACAGTCGCCCAGCATAATAAGGATGGGCAACGTTCCCAAGGGTGCCCTTGCATCCTTACCTCCTCGGTCCATCCTTGGCCGCTGTCGCTGGCAAACCTCGACCGAAAAAACGTTAACGTGGCCCTCCAAGGCCCTTGCATACTTACCGCGCATCCTTCTCATACGGGTGGACTGCATTCTCGGCCTCCTGGGTGGGGTCCGAGAAGATGGGGTCGGAGTTTCGCGCCGAATCTCCCTCGATGTGGAGCCCGATGTTCCCCCCGCCGACGTCGCAGATGCATCGCCGACGTCGGCGATGCATCGCCGATACATTGGGGATGCGGCCGGATCCTCCGACCCCATCTGCTCGGACCCCATCTGGCAGGCCTTTAGTCATCTTGCGAAAAACTACACGCGCGAAGCTGAAACATGCACGGGGAGTGGACGTCCGAACGATGGCGAGCGGCAAGAAGGGAAGGATGGGTCGGGGGTGGATCGCGGCTCGGTTGGGTCGCGGGGTTCAGGCGATCGCATACATTGTTTAAGGAGGCGTGGATTAGCGACGGGTTCCGTTTCCATGGGAAATCGCGGATTTCCGCCGCCGGGCGAGGCGGCACCGGCCGCATTTATTTGCGATTTTTGAGTATGTTGTGACTGTTTACATTTTTCCTCCAAAATCCGCCGGTAGGGGGACACGCCCGACCTAAAGCTGGCTTGAACAGGCCCCCCGAGTAGTTCGGGGGTCCCCAAGCGGTGTGGTGACCACAGCGCGTGGTGAGTCGGTGAGGATTCGGGTTTACCGCGCGGCTTTGGGACTCGGGTCGTGCCCAGGGAGGCCTCGGGCGACCCGGGGCCTCCGAGATTCCAAGACACGCGTGCGGGGACGGACCGCGCTGCGCATGACGCCTCTTGGAAGTTCGATGTCGCCGCGCGGTCCGTCGCCACCCAGACACACGGCCGCGCCAATTGTTGTTGTATGCGTGGGCCTGGGAGGCCCAGACTGCTTCCCCGGGGCCGGTGTTTCGTCCCGAGCCGCTCCCTGGCGCCCCCGAGGCCCAGCGAGGGCCCCCAGAGGTCGACAGCTTCCAAATCCCGCCGCTCCGGTTGCTTTGGACCGTCGGCTCTCGGGGTCCGTCGCCACGCGTTGGGCTGGCGTGATCTCAGCACGTGGGCACCGCCTCTAGCGGCGCCCCCCGGGGGGACGATCTCCGCTTCCCCCGGGGGGGGGGGGGGATGGGGCCCCGAGACCGCGCAGGACCGCTCGGGGGTATGATGTTCCGACCTACTTTAGCCTTGATCACCGGAAAGATTCTCGAGCACGAGACAAAAAGTACCAGAACTCGAGGGTTCTCGCGTGTCGGGCCCTGGGAGACACTCGTCCGACATTACTTCGACACTCTTTCGACACTTTTCGGGGTGCTCGAAATTGTTTTTGTGATATGGTCCGTAAGTACGATGGGAGCAACATATAAGCTCGGGGGGCCCATGGTCAAGTCGGGCGTGTCCCTCAACAGGAGGAATATTCAAAAATAGACAAACAATAGTCAGGGGACGATAATTCTATTATATTTTAAGTATTGTTGCGTATGTATTGATGTTTTTGTCTTCCGGTTTTCGCCCACAATCCGCCTGTAGGGGGACATGCCCGACCTAAGCCTATGGAGGCCAGCCTGGGGACTCGTGGGGACGCTGTTCGTGCGCAGCCCGAGGCCTCACCAGTCGGGGAGCCGAGGGAACGCACAAGATGGATCAGCACACGAGGAGCACAGCGGGGACTCGTGCCAAGAAGCACCCTGCGCTCGCCTCCAGGGTGCCCTGGGCTCCTTCGCCTTCGATTGTTTTCCGATGGAAGGTCTGGCGTTCCCATACCAAAGATCGATGGACGCCCTGGGGTCTCAGGGTTGGCTTTCTTGTTGAAGGTTTCTTGTGGGCTGGCCTCCTGGGAGGACATCTAGTATTCGTATGTCCCCGGAGGAGAGAAGGAGGCGGAGGAGGATCGAGGATCGAGGAGGAGGAGGAGGAGGAGGAGGAACGAGGATCGAGGATCGAGGAACGAGGATCGAGGATCGAGGAGGAGGAGGAGGAGGAGGAGGAGGAGGAGGATCGAGGATCGAGGAGGAGGAGGAACGATGATCGAGGATCGAGGTAACGACGGGCCCTGCTTCCGCACGAGATTGGCTCGCGCCGTCTCCCAGCGAGGCGGCACGGGCGCCATGGTTCCGGTGGCGCTTCGCCGATCCGTGGATCCGGCGCCCACAAAGCCAAATCCACGGACTCCGAGCCCATGCTTCAAAGTGAGCGGCTTGAGTAAGGAACACTTACTTTTCAAAAGGGGCTCGGTCGTTCCTTAAGGCTTGCATGCGTTACGTATCCTTCCTTATGCGTTTTTTTTATCATGTATCGTTCCTTATTCTCTTTTCCTTGGAAAAGAGGGGCTTCGTTCCTTACTTATCGTTCCTTAGGTCAGGCCGATGACTGTAGGGAATCACAGAAGTTTCCGCTTGTCTTGGGCTGAATGTCTATCCGCGAATAGCGCCCGGTTGCCCCAAGTAGTGTCCAACAGCGCCCAGTAGCGCCAAACTGCGCCCGAGCAACATTAGATAGCTTCCGAAAGCGCCCAATCTAGCGCCATGTGGAGGAGATGCATTCTGTCCGTCTGGAGCGCGCTGTTGCGCGCCACTGTGTCGAGCAAAAGCTTCTGCGAGTTGCTCTCTAACATGAGCGATGCAAGCAAGGCCGTTTGCGCCGACACTGGCGCGTGTGCTGCCCGCGTAAGGTCGCGCGTGTGAGCGCCCTCGTCTCCAGAGCAGCGTGCCGCGACCGCGGCCCGCGTCAGGTCGCTGTGTCGTCTCGCGCAAGGCCCCATTTTTGATCGTCGGTCACATGCCCAGACATCCGGCCGCTCCAATGTTTTCGATGCGTGAGGCCTGGAGGTCCAGACCACTTTGCCGGGCCTGGTGTTTCGTCCCGAGTCGTTTTGGCGCTCCTGAGGTCCGGCGAGGGCGCCTGGAGACCCAAAGCTGCCGGAATCCCGCCTCCGAGTCTTTTTGGAGCGTCGGATCGTTAGGTCGCTCGCATGTTATCGAGGGAGGGGAAAAAGCACCCCGACCCCGACGATTGGCATTTACTAAACGGCCCCAGGCGTTCACTACACAGCCCTACCCTGTTCGACTCCTTCTGTGGGTGCGTCTACTATACGGCTTCGCCTGTCGGGGTGCTTATTATGGGGGTGGATGTTCTGCCCCCAATGTTAGGGCGTGCCCACTTAGAGGAGGGTCGGCGTCACCCCAACACACCCATACTGTGAACGCGTCGCCCCCCAGGGGCGACGCGCGCACCGAAAAGTCTTCTAGTGCATGCGTCGTGGCGGGCGCTGTCTGGCCGCCTCGCTCGGTGAACGACACGCTACAAGATGGGTATACTATCTGTTCGTGTAGGACGCGCGCCTCCAAGGAGGACAGATAGTATTGCGAAGGCCTTACGGCTGGTGCCGCCGACCCTGAAGGGGGACGACGACGACGACGACGACGACGACGACGACGACGACGAAGCCGACGCTCACGTGGGTCAGAGTGAGTCCTCAGGGATTCTGTTTGGGGCCGCTTCGGAGCGCTCTCGAAGTCCTCTGGGGGGGCAACTTGGGGGGCCCCATTGGAAGCAACTTGGAGGCCTCTTGAGAGCCTCTTGGGAGCCTCTTGGCGCTTCATGGGGGGCCGCCCTTGGGGACCGTGGGTCGGACGCGCGCCTCCGAGGAGGGCACACAGTGGAGACCCGTGCCAGGAAACTGCTCGCCTCCAGGGTGCCCTGGGTTTCTTGGGTTTCGATGGTTTTGCTGTTGAAGGCGTGACGTTCCCACACCAAAAATCAGTGGACGTCATGGGGTCTCAGGGTTGGGTTTCTGGTGGAAGGTTTCTTGTGGACTGGCCTCCTGGGAGGACATCTAGTATTCGTATGTCCCCGGAGGAGAGAAGGAGGCGGAGGAGGATCGAGGATCGAGGAGGAGGAGGAGGAGGAGGAGGAGGAGGAGCGAGGATCGAGGATCGAGGATCAAGGATCGAGGAGGAGGAGGAGGAGGAGGAGGAGGAGGAGGAGGAACGATGATCGAGGATCGAGGATCGAGGAGGAGGAGGAGGGGATCGCAGAACGAGGATCGAGGATCGAGGAGGACAGATGGCATTCGTGGGCGAGGATCGACGATCGAGGAACGAGGATCGAGGATCGAGGAGGACAGACGGTAGTCGTGGGCGCCCACGGGGCCGCTCCTCGGCACCGGGAGTCGGCACCGGGAGAGGCGCGCCCCGCCCACGTTCGTGCTTCGAGGATCGAGGGGGATCGACGGGGATCGAGGATCGAGGATCGAGGAGGAGGAGGAGGAGGAGGAGGAGGAGGAGGAGGAGGGGGAGGAGAAGGAACGAGCATCGAGATCGAGGATTGAGGATCGAAGATTGAGGATTGGAGGAGGAGGAGGAGGAGGAACGAGCTTTGAGGATCGAGGATCGAGGATTGAGGAGGAGGAGGAGGAGGAGGAGGAGGATGAACGAGCTTTGAGGATCGAGAATCGAGGATTGAGAATTGAGGAGGAGAGAGATGGAGGAGGAGGAGAGGGAGGAGGAGGAGGAGGAGGAGGAGGAGGAGGAGGAGGAGGAGGTGGAGGTGGAGGTGTGGATGTGGAGGTGGAGGAGGAGTAGGAGGAGGAGGAGGAGGGGGCTCCCGAGTGCTCCCGGGCCCCCCGCGGGGCCGCCAGAGAAAAGAGAAGCGGCTCGGGAGGCAGAGGTGGCCCCTCGCCCAGGGCACTGCGCCCCTCGCACCCCGGGAGGGACCTAGATATTCAGAGGAGGAGGAGGAGGAGGAGGAGGAGGAGGAGGAGGATCGAGGAACGAGTATGGAGGATAGAGGATCGAGGATCGAGGAGGAGGATCGAGGATGGAGGATCGAGGATCGAGGATCGAGGATCGAGGAGGAGGATCGAGATCGAGGAGGAGGAGGAACGAGGATCGAGGATCGAGGATCGAGGATCGAGGATCGAGGATCGAGGATCGAGGAGGAGGAGGAGGAGGAGGAGGAGGAGGAGGGGAGGAGGGGGAGCTCGAGGATCGAGGGTCGAGGAGGAGGATCGAGGATCGAGATCGAGCAGGAGGAGGAGGAGGAGGAGGAGGAGGAGGAACGAGGCTCGAGAATCGAGGATTGCCAGATATTCAGAGGAGGAACAGCTACCCAGACCGCTACCCTCCCCTCGTTTTCCCCATTGCTTGGGGCCTCCTGGGCGGCCCACGCCGCCACCGCTTCAGCCGCCTCGAAATCCTGGTCGGACCGCACCCAGGGAGAGGCCTGGAGGGAGCGTTAAGTCGGGCATGTCCCTCTACAGGAGGAAAATTCGAAAATAGTATAAACATAGTCTGGGGAAAATGTTCTACTATGTTTGAGTATCTGGCTATTTTGCATTTTTCTTTCCAAAATCAGCCTGTAGGGGGACACGCACGTCCTAAGGGTGGCGGTATCGGAACCTTTTGGTTTTCCCAGAGATCCGACGCTCCAAAACAATTGGAGCGGCGGGATTCTGGCAGTTTTGGACCTCTAGGGGCCCTCGCCGGGCCTCGCGGGAGCGTCAATACGCGGCTCGGGACGAAACACCGGCCCCGGGGAGGTGGTCCGGATTTCCGGGCCCCACGCATAGGAAAAATTGGAGCGGCCGGACGGATGTCTGGGAAGGGAGGGATGCAGGATATAGTGATCGGTCTCGAGGACCTCCAATATGGCAACCTGATTTAGGGTGGCACGCCCCAAACCGCGGCGAGGACCAGAGAAGTTACAGGTTTCTGGGGGGCGTTTCAGCATTTTTCTGGCCAGTTCGAGTTGAGTGGGAATGAAGATGCTGGAGGAGGTGGACGACGATGACGACGACGACGAGGCGGACGCTCTTCACGACGGAAACTGGACGCACGACATGCTGCTGCTCTTCCAGAACTCCAGTGACGAGAGCACCCTCGAGATCTGGGACATGAGCGCCAAAAGACGGCGCAAGCACAGACAGTCGGAGGTCCGCGCGGAGCATGGGATCGGCGCTGAACAAGTCCTTCCCGGCCTCCCCCCCGAGTACCCCGGGTCGGCGCCCGAGGCGCCGCCCAAGGGTTGCTGGGAAGAGTCGAGCAGTGGCGAAGCGTCTTGGCTTGCCTATAGGCCTACCCAGACATGCTCTAACCACTTGTTGAGGATTGCACGACGTGCTCTTAGATCATTTCTGGCCGAGGCCGTCCTGTTGTAATACGCCGGGCTTCTGTTCTAAGAACATTGTTTTTGCTCTGAGAAGAGCTCTTCGGTTCTATGTAAAAAAATTCCGCGGTAGGTCTATAGGAATGCCGGGGCGGTCGGTCCCTGCTCAGAGGAGGGTCCAGCGCCTACCCCAGAGATCCGCACGGGTCTCCGGCAGTCTGCGCGTGGAGTCCTGTTCTGCCTGCTTCCCGAGGACACTGAGGGCGGCAAAGAGGGGGTGATGACTGGGGCGTGTGTGTGGATCTCGTGGCGTGGGCCATGATGTTTCGCCAGATCTCATGGCGCCTCTTCTTATATCATCACGTCCCTGGCCGCCCCCCCTGGGCCGCGCACATGCCGCCGGCCATGATTCGCGCCCCCCCTCTTGGACGCCCCCCAAGAGATCTGCGCGGGTCTCCAGCAGATTGCGCGTGGAGTCCTGTTCTGCTCCTCCTCCTCCCTCCCTCCAGCAGATTGCGCGTGGAGTCCTGTTCTGCTCCTCCTCCTCCTCCTCCTCCTCCTCCTCCTCCTCCTCCTCCTCCCTCCCCCTTCCCCTCCTCCTCCTCCTCCTCCTTCTGGGGGGGATATGCCCATCCGTCTCACTGTCTTAAATCTCATGCTGGACTGAGGGTTTGGTTTTGTACTACCTGTGGAAGCTTTGCAGCTGAACAGCTGGCTAAGCTATCCAAGGAGTGTGAACCTAAGCGTAGTCGTCAAGACTACCTTTGTCGAATTCAACAAGATTTATGGCCCAAACAATGTAGCAAAACTGAGCGAGCCAAGCGTGCTGCTGCGGGTAAACCCGTTTAAGTTTGCTGTTTGGGCCTCCGTTAAGTAACCGACATGGTCGCAATATCCGTAACTCCGTAACTCCTCCTCCTCCTTCTCCTCCTCCTCCTCCTCCTCCCTCCCCCTCCCCCTCCTCCTTGTTTTGCCTGCTTCCCGAGGACATCTCGAATGGCGTCCACTGCGGCAGGTGGGCGGCGCACCAACGCGGGGCCGACCGCGCGGACGGATCCGCGCGCGCGCGAGAGCGCCCTCCTTGCCTGACGTCGGGCGTGGCCTTCGACAAGAGGAATAGATTAAATATTCCCGGCGAAGCAACCTAACAGCGATGTGTATAAGCATATCTGGAAGCATTCCCCTTAAGATTCAGGTGAGAATCCAGTTGTAGAAGTCTGCTGTTCTCGCAGTCGCAGTCGCATTCGCAATGACAGTCGCACTGGCAACGGCCTTAGGATCCAGTGGAATCCTACGGATTCCTAGGGCGTGCCCTTCGACAAGAGGAATATATAAGAAACAGTCAAGAAATAGTGTGGGGGCGATGTGATGCTATTTGCTGTCCACGTTCGAATAGTGTTGCGTCACGATGTTTGATATTTTTCCTCCAAGCTCCGCCTGTGGGCTTGGCATCGCTCGGACGTGTGCATTTTCCTTCGGCGAGGACCATCGAGGAGCATCCTGGATCATTTGGCGAAAAAAACCCACGCACTGAACCGAAATAACCACAGGGAATGGACGTCCGAGCGATGACCAGTTCGACAAGAGGAATAGATGTTTAAAACATCGGTCAAGAAATAGTGTGGGGACGAAATGTGATGCTATCTTCTGTCCACTTTCGAGTATGTTTTGCGTCACGATGTTTGATCTCTCCTCTATTTTCGAACATTGTTGCGTCACTATTGTTGCGCTCTTCGACAAGAGGAATAGGTTAACCAGTCAGTCAAGAAATAGTGTGGGGACGATGTGATGCTATCTTCTGTCCACTTTCGAGTATGTGTTGCGTCACGATGTTTGATCTCTCCTCCGACCTCCGCCTGTGGGGGGGGGGAACGTGCCCGCCCGAAGAGTCCTTGCCCCGCGTGGCGGTGCCGCGCCAGCGGTCCGCGCAAGCCCGCCGCGCGGGGTCGCCGTGCTCTCGCCCATGCAGGCAGCGGCGAAGCGTCCTGGCTCGCCTATAGCTAAGTCGGGCCTGTCGCCCTACAGGGGGATTGTCGACGAAAAATCAAAAATACCCCCAAAATGCCCCCAAAATACCCCAGGCAGTGGCGAAGCGTCCTGGTGCTAAGTCGGGCCTGTCCCCCTACAGGGGGATGTTTGACGAAAAAGTTCAGAATACCCCAAACATGCCCCAAAGAAAGGCAACACCCATACCCCCAAAATAGTCCCCAGACTATGTTTGGACTTTTTTGTATAATTTTGGTGGTATGTTTTCTATGTTTCGTCTTTTTGATTATGTCTGGGGTATTTTTTTCGTCGAAAATCCCCCTGTAGGGGGACAGGCCCGACTCAATCCTGGCTCGCCTATAGTCCCACCAGAGAATGTTCTAAGAACCGTCTGTGATCTGCACGAAACGTTCTTGGAGCATTTCTGGCTGGGCCTGTCTTCTGTTAGCGTGAAGTCGGGCCTGTCCCCGTACAGGGGGATTTCGACGAAAAAATAAAAGTACCCCAAAAATACACCAAAGAAAGTAAACAACTACCCCAAAAATAGTCCCCAGACTATGTTTGTACTATGTGTTTTAATATGTTGGGGCTATTCTTATTTTTTGTCGAAAATCCCCCTGTAGGGGGACAGGCCCGACTTGATCCTGGCTCGATTATGGTCCCACCACAGAATGTTCTAATAACTGCTTGTGATCTGCACGAGATGATCTCGGAACATTTCTAGCTGGGTCTGTTTTGTTTTAGCACATCTGGCTTCTGTTCTAAGGACCTGGTTTTTGTTCTTAGAACATTTGGGGGGTTCCACGAACATGTCGTGGTAGGCCTATAGGAATGCCGGGATGGTCGGTCTCTGCTCAATTCCCTCTTCCTTTGGCATCGCTCGGGCGTGTGCGCTTCTTCTCGGCGAGGACCCCCGAGGAGCATCCTGGATCATCGTGCAGCAACAAAAAAACACGCGCGACACCGAAACATGCACGGGGAATGGAACGACATGGGAAACCTCTGGGGCGGCCAAGAGGGGGCGCTGAGAGTAGGGGAGCGAAGAATGGCATAAACATAACTCGGAGGTTCGCGCGGATTTCTCGGATCCGCGCTAGGCCCCCCGGGCGGCGCCTCCGGCGCCGCCCCTGGCGCGCTCCGCGCGCCAGGGAGGGGGCTCCAGCGCGGATCCAAGAAATCCGCGCGGACCTCCGAGCTTTTATGTTTATGCCATTCTTCGTTCCCCTACACAGGGGGGCTCAGAGGGGGGGCCAAGATTTAAACTATTGTGCGTCCAGGACTACCTTCCACGAGGCTTGTCCGATTCCTGGGAGGTTCTTGGGGGGGGTTGGGGGCTCTGTTCCGGCTCCCTGGGGGCTTCTTGGGGCGTGTTGGGGGCTTCTTGAGGCAACCTGGGGGCGTCCTGGGGCCGAAGGCTGGAAATGTGGGTTCGGGTTCCCCCCGCCTTTTGGCGCCGTCCGGGGGACCTCTGGGGCCGTGATCGGGCCTTTTTTGGCGGTCTTGGGACCCTTGTGGGCCGTCTTGGAGCTGTCCTAGGGGTCTTTTGGGCCGTCGTGCACGGTATTAAAGCGCAAGAGGCGGATAAGTTTAAAACATACGTTTTCTGAAGGGAATTGGGCAGGTTTCACTTCTTCGGTGCCTTTTGGGAGGCCTCTTGGAGCCCTCTTGGGGCGTTTTGGAGGCATCTTGGGCCGTCTGGATGCGATCTGAGGCGTCTTGGAACGATCATTCGACGATTCGGGGCCCTCTTGGATCGTCTTGGGGCCACTTGGGGACCTCTTGGCCAGTTTTGGGGCCATCAATGCTCCCATGACGCGTTCGTCGACGCGTTCGTCCGGGGCCGGTGGGGGAGGCCCCCCAGTTTGCGGTCTTTGGGGGGGGGGATGGGGGGGAACAATCTCACACGCTTAGAGGCCCACAAGGGGTCGGCAGATTTTTGACCATTTTGACATATATTGTTTGATTATTTTTATTGTTCGTCCAAAATCCCCCTGTAGGAGGACAGGCCCGACTTCAGCAAGAGGGCGGACCCAGGGGCCGTGACTGGCGTCCAGTGCCTCGCCCTCTCGGCGGCGGACATCGGAGCCAAACGGGGGCAGCGAAGAGGCAGCCAGATTTGTTGATGTTCCAACCTGCTTCAGACCTGATCACCACAAAGAGTTTCGTTCACCAAAAAGGTGCCGAAACCCAAGGGGTTTCACGTGTCGGGCCCTGGGAGACACTCGTCCGACACTGTTTCGACACTCTTTCGACACTTTTCCGAGTGCTCGCGATTATTTCTGTGATGTGGCCCTCAAGTACGATGGGAGCAACATAAAGGCAGACATCATAGGAAGAGAAGTTACCGATGTCGCAACGCGTCCCAAGAGGGAGGTGATGACTAGGGGGGGGTATCATGGCGGGGGCCATGATACCTCCCCCGATGTCATGGCGCCTCCTCTTATTTCCATACTTCCCTGGCCGCCCCCCCTGGGCCTCCCTCTTGGACGCACCCGAAAACCCGTCCCTGGGAAGGGGTCCAGACCTCTGGGTGTGGCCACGCTGCGAAGCAATCACGACGCTGGATGCCTGAGTATACAAGGAGGGGGAGGAGGGGGTGAGAGATCGCAGTGGAACGGAGAGCCCCCCAACTGGAAATCGGCTTCGGTTTCGTGTCGTGCGTGCGGGCGAGGCGAAGCTGCGTGGACGCGCGGGAGGGATGATCCCGCCGTCGCTCGGGCGATTCGGATACAAATGTCCGCGCTCCCGTAGGCGCGCGGTGGCTGGAGGTGTCCTGCCGTGGTGTTTCGCGGTGTCCCGATGGTGTCGCGTGGTGTCGCGTGGTGTTCAGTGGTGCCCCGCTGTGTCCCAGTGGTGTCCCGCGGTGTTCCATGGTGTCCACTGGTGTCCCGCGGTGTCCCGCGGTGTCCCACCGTGCCACCAGCATCGTCATCATCACACCCATCGCAGTTGCCAGGGGTTGGTTCTTTCCTTCAGCATCGCTCGGACGTGTGCGTTTTTTTCTTCGGCGAGGACCATCGAGGAGCATCCTGTTGATCATTTGGCGAAAAAAAACACGCACGAAACAGAACAGAGCACACGGAATGGACGTCCGAGCGACGGCGAGTTCCCATTCCCCGCAGCCTCTTCATCACCCGAAGGGTGGTCGCATATGTGGGCAGGGGGTCTCCTCGCCGGGGCCACGGCGCCTCGATGTGATGGCCCCTTCTTGTTCTTCCAGCACGCCCCCTGCCCCACCCCCCAGTCGCCCGCGCAGATGTTGCAGATGTCATGGCAATGGACACCCTAACAATCCGACCACTGAATTAAACTCAGGAGGGAACAACAAACACAGACAATTAATCGTCGATCCCCAAGAACATATGGGAAACTATGGGAAGTGGGGGATTAAGACAAAAACCCACAACATACGAGAAAATCTGGGGACTGGTTTTAGTTGTATGTATGTATTTGTGTGTGTCCTGGGGCCCCTTCATAAACATGTGTTTAACATGCTTGAAACATGTCCTAAGCATGTGTTAAACAGTTGATACACATGTGTGAAACCCATCCGAGAAATCCGCGCGGACCTCCGAGTTGTTATGTTCATGTCATCATTCGTTCCCCTACTGGCGCGACCATACAGTGGGGGCGCATGCCAAGAAACACCCTGCCTGCCTCCAGGGTGCCCTGTGTTTCTTGGGTTTCGATCGTTTTGCCATGGGAGAGCGGGGCGTTCTCACGCCAAGAATCGATGGGAGTTTCTTGTGGAAGGTTTTTGTGGACTGGCCTCCACTGTACCTACCTCTACCCTTCGCTCGTTTTCCCCTTTCGGGGGCCTCCTGGGCGGCCTCTGACGTTCTTCCAGCAGTGGCGAAGCGTCCTGGCCTGCCTGCACGCCCGCCTCAGAAAGACTCCGAGAACCCGCCGTGGTCTGCTGCAGGCACTCTCGGCACACTTTTGGCCGAGACAGCATGGTGTTGAGATACGGGCTCCATGCCCTGAGAACCGAGCTTTTATGGTTCCAACATCGGGGTATAAGATCGAGGT